GCCTCGAGATATCCATGAATTGAAAAGTCTGCAAGGAAAGCTAGCATACCTTAGAAGATTCATATCAAACCTGGCTGGGAGGTGCTAACCATTTAGTCACCTCATGAAGAAAGTCATTACTTTCAAGTGGGATCAAACTTGTAGCAATGCCTTCGAAAGTATCAAAACCTACTTGATGAAGCCTCCGGTTTTAGCAGCTCATATACCAGGAAAGCCATTGATACTGTACATTATAGCGCAGGAAAGGTCTGTTGGAGCACTGTTGGCCCAAGAAAATAGTGAGGGGAAAGAAAACTCTCTTTACTACTTGAGCAGGATGATGACACCTAACGAGTTGAACTATTCGCCAATTGAAAAGTTGTGTTTGGCGCTAATCTTCTCAATTCTAAAGTTGAAGCACTACTTTCAAGCTCATGTTGTCCGCCTTGTTTCTAAAGCAAATCCCATCAAGTTCGTGATGTCAAAACCTGTTCTTAGTGATCGACTAGTGGGATGGTGCCTCCAATTTCAACAATTCGAGATTTTGTACATCCCTCAAAAGGTTGTAAAAGGACAAGCATTGGCAGACTTCTTGGTAGATCATCCGATACCTGATGACTGGGAGCTAACTGATGAACTACCTAATGAGGACGCAATGGTCGTTGAAGTTCAACCTCCATGGAAGATGTACTTTGATGGTGCTGCGCATCGTGGGGAAGCCGGTGCTGGCGTAGTATTTGTCACTCCCCAAGGTAAAGTCTTGCTCTACTCCTTCACCTTGACACAACTTTGTTCCAACAATGTTGCTGAATATCAAGCATTAATACTTGGGCTTGAAATGGCCGTTAAAATGAAGCAATTGCAATTGCAAGTCTTTTGTGACTCCCAGTTAGTGGTCAATCAGCTTTTGGGTAGTTACGAGGTTAAAAAGCCTGAACTACGCCCATATCATGATTACACTAAAAAGTGATGGGGTGGATCGGTGATATGACTATTCAGCATGTGCCAAGGAAAGAAAATAAGAAGGCTGATGATTTAGCTGCTCTAGCTTCATCATTAGCCCTGCCTGACCAAGCGCAAGTTACCGTCTGCTAAAATGGGTAGTACTGTCTCCAAATGAGGTTGAAGGTGAAGAAGACAAACTCAAGCATCTTGTTGTTGTTTCTGAAGTTGAGAAAGAAGAATGGCGACAACCCATTATCGACTACTTATGCTATGGGATACTTCCTGAAAATCCGAGGAGAAGGACTGAAATCCATCATCGTGTACCTCGCTTCCTTTACTACAAGGATACTCTATACAGAAGGTCGTTCGAGGGAGTACTCTTACGATGCCTAGGAGAAGAAGAAGCTCTCCAAGCTTTGCAAGAGGCACATTCTAGGGTATGTGGGTCACACCAGTACGGACTAACGCTCCACTTCCATATAAAAAGGATGGAATATTAGTGGCCAACGATGGTAAAAGATTGCTTGGACTACGCTCGAAGATGCAAGGCTTGTCAATTCCATGCAAATTTTATTCATCAACCTCCTAAAGTGTTGCACCCGACTGTTGCATCATGGCCATTTGGTGCTTGGGGATTGAATGTTGTTGGACCACTGCCAAAGTCCTCTGGTGGGCACCTATACATCTTGGCTGTAACTGAGTACTTCTCGAAATGGGCTGAAGTTGTTGCTCTTAAAGAATTAAAGAAGGAAAATGTTGCAAGTTTCATCCGAGTAAACATTATTTATCACTTTGGCATTCCTCGTTACATAATAACGGATAATGGAAAGCCATTCGATAATAGGTTGATGAACAAGATTTGTGATCTCTTTGGCTTCAAGCAACGTAACTCTTCGATGTACAATGCTGCCGCCAATGGTCTAGCTGAGGCATTCAACAAGACTCTATGCAACTTGTTAAAGAAAGTCGTCTCCAAATCCAAACGAGATTGGAATGACCGTATGAAAGAAGCTCTATAGGCATATATGACGACTCACCACACGCCAACACAGGCGACTCCTTATTCACTCGTTTATGGAGTCAAAGCCGTCTTGCCACTTGAGCATCAAATACCTTCATTGAGATTGGCTATTCAAAAAGGGATCACTGATGAAGAAAATGCTCGACTTCGATTAGAAGAGTTGGAAGCTCAACAGAGTCTTGAATGTTATCAAGCTCGATTATCTCGCGCCTTCAATAAAAGAGTTCGCCCGAGATCCTTTTAAGTAGGAGATCAAGTCCTTGCCGTATGAAGACCCATAATTACTTCCCATAAACCTGTAGGGAAGTTCACTTCAAAATGGGATGGGCCATATATCGTACAAGAAGCTTACTCAAGTGGGGCTTACAAACTGGTTGATGCAGATGGTATGAGAATCTGCCCTATCAATGGCAACTTTTTGAAGAAGTATTATCCTTGAAGTTGCAATGCTCCTCGACGTACGATCCTAAACTGCAAGTCATGATGCTCTTCGATGTACGAGCCAAAACTGCAAGTCATGATGCTCCTTGACGATGAGCCTAAACTGCAAGTCATGATGCTCCTCGACGTACGAGCCTAAACTATAAGTCATGACGCTCCTTGACGCAATAGCCTAAACTGCATGTTGCTATACTCCTGGCCCGCATGAGTTTAAACTGCGTACGCCCCCCCTAAAAAAATCCGCTATGTTGAAAATCTCGAAAGAGGCGGCCTAGGTAAAAGTTAGGACGTAAAAAAAAATCTACCCAATCTGAACTACGGTATGACTTGATCCTCTTCACCGAGGTACGTAGGCAGCTTAGAGTTTCATTCTAAGTTCAGTCGCATAAGTTCAAAAGATACATATTGCCCCAATTGTTGTTCGAATGATGTATAAAGGAATGTAAGCGCAAGCTGAAATGCCATCCTCCTACTGAACTTTGACCTCATTTGATTTAAAGGGGGCAACCCTCCATGGTAAATTGATATCTTCGATGGGCCGATTTTAGGAGGATGTCAAGTATTTGCATTGAAGTCCAGGGATTCTCTATGTCTTCAGGTTCGCCAAACCTTCAAGTTTGTTGGTCTCCAAGTCCGACCTCTGCCTTATAAAAAAAGGGTAAGAGAAGAGAGACATCAAAAGGAAATACAAGTATAAGGAAATAATTGCTTGGCACAACGTTTTAAATCAAGTGAGACTTGAACTCAAGATATTTGTGAGAATATGGCTCTTAAATTTCAATTGATGTCAAGTAAGACATCTTCTAATTTCGACGTTCCTACACCAAAATATGAATTTTTTTGGTGAGACTGCGCAGATCTAGAATTGATAGCATGGTGCAATATAAAGTTGATTTCAAAATATTATCTGGGACGATTCTGAAGTTGTTTGATTAAGAATTATGGATATATGCTAAATCTTGAAGTCTAGTTTTCTTGAAATCAAACGGTTTGCAATTTCAATAATTCTACACTGAGATATGAATTTTTTGGTGAGACTGCGCAAATCTGAAATTTTTAACATGGTGAAATCTAAAGTTGGTTTAAAGATATTATCCGGCGCGATTCTGAAGGTTTTTGATTTTGAGTATTGGATATATTTTAGATATTGAAGTCATCAAACGGTTCATTATTTGGATTCTCCCATGGCAAGATATGAATCATTTGTTACAGGCACGAAAATCTGAAAATTATGCGACTAAGATAAAAGTCGAACAATGTAAAGCAAAAGAGAAGCTGGAATATTTAAGCCCTCGAAGTCTCCAAGTTGAAGTCTTCAAATCCGCTGATCTTCAAGTTGAAATATTTAGGCCCTCTAAGTCTCAAAGTTGAAGTCTTCAAATCCGCTGATCTTCAAGTTGAAATATTTAGGCCCTCTAAGTCTCAAAGTTGAAGTCTTCAACGCCGCCGGTCTTCAAGTTGAAGTCTTCAAATCCGTTGATCTTCAAGTTGAAATATTTAGGCCCTCCAAGTCTTAAAGTTGAACTCTTCGAGTTCGTCGGTCTTAAAGTTGAAATATTTAAGCCCCCCAAGTTGAAGTCTTCAAGTCAAATGACGTGGCGCACCAAGTCAAGTGGAAGAGCCAATATGATCATGCCACATGTCAAAATGACAAGGCATGCCCAATCACACTGAAAGGCCAATGAAATCGCGCCACGTGTGCAAGTGACATGTTCTGGCCAATCAAATACAACCATGTCACACTTCAATTTGATTGGTCGGAAAAAGTTTATTCTTATCACAACTCCGCCCTTCCACAACTATAAATAGGGGTCTTCATAACTCAGAAAAGACACCAGAAGTTATAACAAGAAGCAAGAGAGAGCTCGTGGATCAAACACCGCAAATTTCTCTACAAGTTTCAGGCTTCAAGCAATCAAGTTCAAGTTCAAGAACGAAGAACAAATCAAGTATTCAAGCTCAAGAACGAAGAACAATTCAAGTATTCAAGATCAAGAACGAAGTCAAATCAAATACAAAACGTTCAAGATCAAGGCTACTTGTTCGTGATAAAATTCGTGGCAACAATCAAAGTGTTCGCGACGGATAAATCAAATTCAAATTGAAGATCAAGCTCAAAGGCCCTTGAATTTTTACAAGAAAAGTAGAATCAGATGAATCATAGAGATTGTACACTCAAATATTCGAAATAAAATACTACGATTGTTGCAATATTTTCGGTCTTGATTTTATTTTCTCGACTCAAATTTATTGTCTACACATATTTTACTTAAATAAAGTAAACAAATTTAATTATTGCTTGTAATAACAAACTTTTAAGATTATTAATTACTTATAATATTAACTATTGAGTAAATCTATTTATGTCATTATTCGTAATTTGATACTTAAAAAGCACTTTTTGAAAAAGTTTGGTCAAACACAAATTATTGCTCAAAAGTAATTTTTAGAATGATTAGCCAAACACAAATGACTTTTATAAAAAATTTTTCAATTTTTTTTTAAAAAAAAGCACTTCTCGAAATAAACTTATTGTTTCAGCTTGGCCAAAGAGGTTATGAGTCTCAAACTTTGAAATTATTAGTCCGACATAAGCTGAATGTACCATAACAAAAATTTTCCCGCTCAAAATTCAAAATCAAATTCAGCGAAAGCCATATCCAAAGTTCTACAAAATTTCCCAGAACACACGCGCAGATCCAGTCAGATAAGCAAAAAATCTTCGACAAAATCGTTCGAAAATGCCAGTTCCAGTAGTAGACGAAGAAGAATTACATAAAAAATTGACTGAAAAAATTTCTAGGGTTTTGGACGAAGCTCGATCGTCAAATGCAATACATCAACGAAAGCTCAAGGAACTCTCGGCTATCCGTTCCGTTACGAAGTCACCTGACAAGTTTTTCGGTGCATTCTCGAGAGCGTTAACACCGTTATTCGACTTCCAGCGTCGTACGGCTTCTGCCGAGCGAATCATCCGATTTGTCGCCGTTTTCGCCAGTGTGCGTGACGGTAAAAATGCTTCGGATTGTGACGCGTTTTTGGAGAAGTTTCTAGAGTTTTTGCTTATGGCTGCTGGGGCGGCTAATAAAACTGCCCGGATTAGGGCTTGTCAGATAATTTCCGAGGTATGGCTTTTTAAATAGTTTTTAAATTAGAGAAAACTGTAGTTTGTGCTTTTGCCCCTCTATTTCGCGTACTTATTTGGATATAGTAATATTTATTCCATTTGCTTTGGATTTTGATAAATAATAGAGAAAATTGTAGTTTATGTTATTTTGTGCCTTTTGCATACTTTTTTGAATTACTCATTGGATGAGAAAATGTGAATTTGTGTATAATTGTCAATTAGCCGAGCAGAGAGAAAGGAGGAGGATTTGATTTTGCTTTTGAGTTTTGATAATTAAATAATTTTGAGATGATATGTCATTTGATAAAGCACATCCGTAAGGACTGAGAAGAGATTTCCTTATAAGTAGTAGTACATTACTTCTTTTTGCTACTGCTCGACGCAGTATTGATGCTGTATCTGACAAAAGTGATGAATGTAGTAAAAAAGTGCAGCTTCTGGCCACACCTCAAATGTGAACATTAAAGATTGGGAAACTCCCTAGCACTTTTGACGCATGTTTTTATTGTGACTTTAGTTGTTATACTGCACTTTTTGCACTGTGAAGCCAGATTTTAAACTCACTATTTTAGTTGTTATACTTTGCCTTTGCTCACATTATCGGTCCCAGGCTCGGATAAATGAGGACGGTTGTGGTAGGTTGGGAGTCAACATTAATATAGCCACTTTCATGATAAATTATATTTGCATAATATTGGTGTGAGATGATTTAAATGGAGTAACGTGGTCAGTGAGGATTCATATAGCTGACCCCAACTTATCTGGGATTGAGGCGTAATGTTGTTCTTGTTGCGATTTGAGTTTTTGTATGTGCTTATATATCTAGTTGATTTGGCAACATATTCATGTTACCATACCCTAAAAAGCTTGTTTTTCGCTTTGGTAGAGGAACAATCTCAAATTTGGTGACTCTGTTACTATTAGTTTAAACTCTTTTGGTTGACCATGAATACAAGAAAAAATAGAAAGAAATCTTGAAAGGAGAAGTCAAGGATTGACTTGAAATATAGTTAGGAGAAAATGCACAGTAGTCAATGTGCATAGAGAAGGAAAACACTGCATCAGAAAGAGTGTAAGGTGAAAACCTAATGTGGTAGTCTCCTACATAGGAAGTTAGGAATTACAAGGTCCTCTATTTTCCAATAACTATGAAGATACTAAATCCACAAGCTGTGCCTTTTTATTTCTGTCATACTCATACACATCCTAAAATAATGTTTTGTGAATTTCTATTTCTTCACACTCCCATTTCAATATTTCTATGATAATGCACCAATTTTTCCTTAGAAATTTCCTTTTCCCTTCTAATAGCTTTCTCAAAAGAAAAAAGAAATCTTTTGGCTCTTGTCTATACATTTGCAATTTATGGGCATAATTTAAACTAGGAATGCTTCTCTAGAGAGTAAGGATTTTATAATAACCGTAAATTAGAAAGACTATATGCACATTAAGTTTAACTCTCATATAATGAAGTTTGAAGTTAGAATCCACGTGATTGTAGTTCTAAATACAGACAATTAGCTATTTATGCCTTTATTTTTAGGAGAATGACATGACAAATGAAGATGCAACACAAAATGAAAATAGGATGGATGAGACAAAGTTTTACCCGAGTGTTATACCCCAGGAAGATATATACCAAAGTGAAATACAAGTTTATAGAACAGTCTTGGGACCAATGATGTTATATCATAGTGAATTTTGTACCTCTAAAACCCAATAAATTTATAACATGGGTGTTAATGTGGTAAAATGCAGATGTTAAGTTGGATGTTGCATTCACAAATTTTGACATATTTAGAAATACTCATATTGGATAGAGGGTGTGAGTACAACAACATACCTAGTATAATCCTACAAATGGGGTATGGGGAGGGTAGTGTGTACATAGTCTTACCCTTACCTTGCGCCTACAGAGAGGTTGTTTCCGATAGACCCTCGGCTCAAAGCAAACATGCATAATCACAACAGAGGGTGTGTACTACTCATATTTATGTGAGTAGTACACATAAATAAAATGAGTGAAGATTGTCTAATATGGTTTTGTCATATCCTACGCAAACCTAGAAATACACTAGGTAATAAGTGAGACCTTGTGATGATTGAATGTGCTAAATGGGGATGAGATATACCTAAAATCACGAGGTGAAAAGTAGTAAGAAAGATGTTTGCTTGAAATCAATATGGACTTATCTGAGAAAGAAAGCAAGGAAAGTAAAAAGATTCATATACAAATTCTAGTTAATTATTAAGACTTAGCTGTGACTATGCTTACATTGGGTTTGGTGTTCGCCATGAGTCTTTTTTGGTTAGAGATTGTATTAGTGTAAGGTTAAGTTCTAGAGTTGGCCATTAGCTATAGAGAACCCGCAGTTTGTTTTCTAAGGCAAATTACGAGTATACGAATAAAATTGGCCCGAAAAGTGTAAACTAGATTTAGAGGATTCATACAGCTAACCCCAACTCGTCTTCATAGTACGTAGTTTAATGTTATTCAGTTTTTCTTATACTAAATGAGTTATGTAAAATCACCTTATATATCCTTTGGTTTTGGGAATTTTGTTAAATGTAGGCAATGGTTTAAAGTTCCCCTTTCTCATTCAAAATATGGTTAATTTTGATTTGAGAAGTTTCTCTTTCTTGTGCTTTCTTTTGTTTTTTCCTCTTTTATCTCGATGCCATGATAGAATTACCCATACCTTTTGTAAATTGTAATCTCATTGATGATTTTCTTGTCTTCTAGATCATAATGCGATTGCCAGATGACACAGAAGTCAGCTCTGAACTTTGGGATGAAGTTATAGAGAGCATGAAAACACGTGTTGGTGATAAGGTCGCTTCTGTCCGTACCTTTGCCGTGAGGGCGCTTTCACGGTTCGTTAATGACTCAGAAAATGCTGACATTTTGGAACTATATCTGGAGACACTTCCTCTTGAACAAAATGTGGTGAGCTTTCTCATACCTATGTATGTTACAGTATATTCCCCTTAGTTGATAATGATGCATCACACTTCATTACGTATTGCTCAAAACAGTCAGTATGTGACTCATTTAGTCTATATTTTGCCTGATACTAGTGTAGAATCTTTAGCATCTACATGATATACTCCATCTTGAAACTTTCCTGATATGTCTTAGCATAACTATATCAAATGATTGAATTAATGAATTCCTCTATATTGGCTTTTTTTTGCAGGATGTCCGTAGGACAATTATCTTATCCCTTCCACCATGCCATGCATCTTCTGCAGCAATAATTGATTGCACACTGGATGTGAGTGAATCAGTACGCAAAGCAGCTTATTCCGTGATTGCTAGTAAATTTCCCCTGCAGAGTTTCAGGTAACTTTAAACCATTGCCTACCTGTATCATCTTTGCCTTACTTTTGCTTCATCTTGGCATGGTATCCATTCTTTTCTTGGGAATCACTAAAGAAGTGTGTATTTTCCCTTATTTTGTATGCATCTCAACAAGATGATCATCAAAACTTCTGCATAGATTATACCTCATGTCTGTGGCTATATGTACAGTTAGAGCTATTATTGGTGTCAGTCAAACTGGTTTCACTGCCTGATATTCTCCATTTGCCGATTACAGTCAACTCATCGATATTATGTCCTAAAAGAAACAACAAAACTCAAGTTCAGCTAAGTACTTCATGCCCTTGTTTGCTTCTAGGTCAATATCGAGAGATTTCTATAAAAGGTTATTCTTTTCTTTAAAGTTGTCTGTTAGCATTCCTGCTTTTACATGAACAAAAACTGCAGAGGGTTTCGACAAGCAAACAAGTATAGTTCTTTAATCACGGACTTTTGTGATGGCCATTTGATATAACCTGGAAAAGAGTCGGTGAGGGTCTTCTTTTGTTTTTGAGTTTTGGTATTCTTGATATTTTTTGTTTATGTTTTGTTTCTTGTTGCGTAATTTATGGTAAAAAACATTAGAAAAAACTTCTATTTAAATTCTTTTAAGGACATTGAAATTGATGCTAGCATAGAACTTAGAAGTTAGTTAGCAAGACATCAAAGAATTTCTGCTGTCCTAATATCTTATCAAATTCACTCACTTGTCAAAGAGAATAAAGGGGCTTTGATAAATTTTTTGCATTAACTCTGGACGCATTGGAGCTTAAATTTAATAACCTAATTCACCACTAAAGGGAGTCAAGCCTATGTGATACTTTTTGCTGTGAGTATCAGCCAGATATTTTATAAGTCAGTGAAGCCTTACTATCAAATTCATGGTTAACTGGAAATTGGTACTGTATGCATGTTGGATCAACTTCATACACATTTCCCTTGGGTGCATGGTATAAAAAATTAACTTCATACACATGCTTGAATCATGTTCTCTAATTTGACCTCAAGTTCAGCCAAGTAATTCATGCCCTTTTATGCATGTTGGATCACATGCATAGGGCTGATTTAATTAGTTTACATAGGTTCCAACTCATAGATATCCTATAACAAATGTTTTCTACATCTGGCAGCATCAAGCTCAGAACTCTTATTTTGGAGAGAGGACTTGCTGATCGCTCTTCATCTGTTGTAAAGGAGTGCTTTAGGATGATGAAAGATGAGTGGCTCACCAAGTGTTGCAATGGGGACCTGGTAGAACTACTTAAATATCTTGATGTGGAAACATATGAATCAGTGGGAGAGTCTGTAATGGACAGTCTGTTAAAAGCAGGCTTGGTTAAGCTGCAAGATGGTCAAAGTATGAGGCAATTTTTGACATCGAACAGTGACACTGTTGAAGGTTGGTCTTACAAATTAAAATATTTGATGTCTACTTCTTTTGCTTTCTCGGAATGACTTTATATGCTTATTGATTGGCATAATTCGAGATATTCATTTCTGTTTTAAATAAGAAACTAAGTTTAGTGTTAAATCTTTATCTATGTTTTCTGAAAATGATCTATTCTAGTGAAGGCAAACTGCTTCCCTAGTTTAACCTTCAGTTACATATAAGGCTAGAGATACTCAATTTCTGTTTTTCATGTAATTGATTGTTTCTAAAACTTGGAGCAATTTGTGTTTGCAGTTCCAACATTTAATTGCATGTTCTCTTTGCTTACCAGGCAATTGTAGCATCCAACTCATGGAAGCAGAAACCGCTTTCTTTTGGAGAGCTGTCAGTAAACACTTGCAAATGGAGGCACATGTGAGTATTTAATATTTGTTTACCAGATCTTATGCTATTTCTTCAACTGTTTCAATGTACCATCTCGCTGCTCAAAACTCCTTAAAACATAGGAAGTTACCTGTTATCATACAGCGAAATGCCAAGAAGGGTTATCCTTCTCTTTGTTATTTAACATTTACCTTCTCTCGAATGTTTCAAGATCCTCATTGGAAGATTGAATTAAGAAAAAGTTGAACAACTATCATGCTTGACATAATTAATTAAGCAGTAAATGGATTTGATTTCAAATGTTGTTATCACAAACAGATGGCATCAATTGAATAGATTAAATATAAATTCCTATCTATTTTAGCACCCAAGGGTGTGACCTAGTGGTCAATGAAGTGGGTGAGAACCATGATGTCTCAGGTTCGGAGGCAAAAGATACTAAGTAATTTGTTCCCATCTTCCCTTGGAATTAGTCGAGGTGCGCGCAAGCTGGCTCGGACACCACAGTTATAAAAAAAATTCCTATGTATTTTTGTGTTTGTGAAAAGGGTTTGTATGGATTGCCTGATGTAGATAGGTTGGAGTTATCTGTCTGTCTTGGTTGGGCTAGAGCATAATGTGGTCAGTGCATATGCAATTCCAGATTTTGCAGGTCCAGCTTACAGAGCCTTGGTCTGCTGTGCTAGTTTTCGGAATTTAATCATTTTAAATTCGTCTTGATTATTATGCATAATAACGGGCTAATGAGATAACTATTTGTGTAATCTATGCGTAGCATACATGCATAATGCTAAATAAGTAATGTGTCGGTCCTTGTTAGTTCCCGCGTTTAATGAATTGCTTACGGTAGTCTGTTCCATAAACTTTTTTTTTTTTAAATGTTGAAGTGTGTGACCATTTTATTTATAAGTTTAAGCTTCTAGCGAACATACTTTCTATTACTTAATTATGTTATGCCTCAATACGCCTCCTTACATGTGGGTGTGATTCCTTTTCATTGGCCAAACGCGTAAAAATAATTTTCCCTTTTGGGTGACAGTGAGATTTGAATGTATGAATTACCAAGAATAAGAATGCGCCTTGCTCTAATGCCATGTTAAAGTGACCATCTCATCTAAAAGGTTAAGCTATTAGAGAACATAATTTTACTTAATTATATCTTTAACACATCCCTCATATGCGGGCTTGATTCTTTTTTATGAGCCAAGTACGTGAAAATACTTTTTGATAATAGATGGCGGTGAGACCTCTTTTAATTATTTAATTATATTATGTCTCACCATAAAAAAAATGCAGTTGGTGCTTTTGAATAAGTAGAGTCTATGAATTGGTCATTCCTGCTTGAATAAGTGTTTTTGCTACTATCTAATCCTATTGAGGTCACTTATGTCCATTGTCCTCAACTTTAGTTTTGTGAATGCCTGTGATGAAGGTCCAAAATAAAGGTTGCTGGTTCCTTCACAGTTTTCTTGTTGAAGTCTCTAGGAACATATCTTAGCATGGTATAAGGATTTTTTGACTAAATTAGCTACAGCCCAGTTATGTTTATTTCTAGCGTATTCTGGCTGTGTGAAGTTTCTGGGCACTGGTATTTAGTGTCACAGTGCATAGTGGGTTTAATTCTTGGTTTATTGCTATTTATCTATCTTAAATAAAAAAAGTTTATTGCTATACAAACTTTTCATTTGGATGACTAGTGCCAAAATCTTTTGTCATATCATGTAAATATTCCTAATGATGACCAAACAGGCAAAGGGCTCTGATGCTGCTACAACAACAGGGACAGAATCTGCTGTATATGCATCAGAAGCTTCAGATAAAAATGATCTTCTTGACAGAATTCTACCTGCTTCTATTGGAGACTATGTTCAATTGATTAAAGCGCACATAGTTGCTGGTGAGGAATTTATCCATAGTTCTCTAATTTCTAAAACCCTCTCTGTTTTATTTTCCTTCCATATTTTGCTATTAGTGACAGAGATTATTGCAGGAATCAATCACCGATTTGCATCTCGGCAACTGCTATTACTCGGTGCAATGCTTGATTTTTCTGATGCTACAAACAGAAGAGTTGCAAATGAATTTCTGCAGGAGTTGCTTCACATACCCCCTGATCATGAATTAGATGAGCATGACAATGAGGTTGTCATAGGAGATGGTATCAATCTTGGAGGTGACAAAGATTGGGCTGCTGCTGTATCAGAGTTGGCGAAAAAAGTCCATGCAGCTCCAGGAGAATTTGAAGAAGTAGTTTTACGTGTAGTGGAGGAGCTTGCTAGGCCTTGCAGAGAGAGGACTGCAGACTACATGCAGTGGTTGCACTGTCTTGCTGTGATTAGCCTTCTGTTAGAAAATGTTCAGTCTTTTCGCTGGATGCATGGAAAATCTATAGAACCGAATGAAGTCCTGCACTCTGTATTGCTGCCTGGGGTCTGTATCTTGTAAAAGTTACCTTCTCTATTCTTTCTTTTTGCCTCAGTTATTTATCTGATGTTATACATTCATTTATTTCCACGTTCATTTGTGTTCTTGGGGATAATGTAATGGATGTATTATTATAACCTTCAGTTTCTTGTTGTTGGTTCCTCTGTTATCAACTTTGTAGAATTCTGAGCTATTTTGTATTGTTCTGAAATGCAGGCAAAGCATGTACACCTAGACGTTCAGAGGGCTGCCATTAGATGCCTCGGTCTCTTTGGATTGTTAGAAAGGAGACCTAGTGAAGATTTAATAAAGCAATTAAGGTCTTCTTTTGTTAAGGGCCCCTCTTCAGTTACTGTTATGGCTTCTAAGGCGTTGATTGACCTTGGAATGTGGCATGGTCCTAATATAGTTGATAAAGCTATGAACCAGGATCTCTCATCACAACTCCAAGATCATAAAATTAAAATGTTATCTGATATCAAATTTAGCATTGGAAGTGAGGATTTGGAGATAGAATTACTTGACCTGTTATATGCTGGATTGGAGAAGCACAATTCAGGTGATTCTGATGACTGTGATGAATATGAGACAGTTCAAACAGTTCTTGGTGAGGGCTTTGCTAAGACTCTTCTGCTAAGTAAGAAGTATCCGAGCACACCTGCTTTGTCAAATCCGCTGCTATTAGCTGAGCTCATAAGCTTGTATTTCTGTAGTGAGAATAAGGAACTTGGAAGGTAAATCTCTTTGCTGTTCACTTTATTTTATCTCATCTTCTGAAAATTCCACCTGATAATATTTTACCTCACAGGTTGAAGCAATGCCTTTCTGTATTCTTTGAGCATTATCCATCCCTCTCGTTGAACCACAAGGTTTATAGAATTTCAAATTTGTGCATGCAAAATTTACGAGAATTGGATAGATCGGTTTGTGATTTTGGTTTTGGGTTATTACAGAAAACTTCTGGTTTGCATTGCAGAAATGTTTATCCAAGGCTTTCATGCCAGTTATGCGCTCTTTGTGGCCAGGCATCTATGGCAATGCCACTGGATCTACGTTCATGGTCTCTAATATGCGCAAGCGTGCTACCCAAGCATCACGTTTTATGGTGCAGATGATGCAGGCTCCCTTGTATTCTGAGGAAACTGCTCCAGCCAGTGAAAACGATAATGAAAACCACATTGATTCGCCTGAACCTTCATCTGAGTTCGAGACTGGAGAAGAAGGGCTTGCAATATGTATCGCTGCAGAGGTATTTATTCACAGTTTCCAGTTCAGTGCCCTTATGCTTAGTTTAACGAACATATCATATATAATACTTTTACTAGTGTTCCTGTTTTCCTGAGCCGAGGGTCTATTGGAAACAACCTCTCTATCCTCACAAGGTAGGGGTAAGGTCTGCGTACACACTACCCTCCCCAGACCCCACAGTGTGAGATAATACTTGGTATGTTGTTGTTGTTAGTAGTGTTCCTGTTCTGTTTAATGGAATGGAAATTTCTTTGGGTTGTCTGTCAAGGTGGCCAGCTTCCATGCAAAGAAGACAGCTGCAGAGAAAGCATATGTTTCTGCACTGTGTAAGGCACTATCCTTGCTTCACTTTAGACCAGCAGAACAAGGAGCTGTCAAGTTAATGAGGCAGCTATTGAATCGTGTTGCTGAATCTGTACTTTCTGAAAACGAGCTTCTTAAGGAGTTGAAACAGATGGCTGAAAGGCTAAAGGGTTTAGACAAATCTCCAGACCATAAACTATCATCTGATGAAGTTAAACTTATTCTAGGTAATTATTTCTGGTTTAGCGGCTATAAAACTGCAGTCATCACNTCGATGGAAGTACTGCCAACTCCAGCACCAAAATCAGCCAGACCAACTCGTACAAGGAGACGAGCTAAGGAAGCAATAGAATCTTCATCAGATGAAGAATTCCCCCTATCTGCTGTTCCTACTAATCCTGCTGTAACGAGTACTCGGTCACAAAGGGCTAGCAAGACTGCAGCATTGTCAAAGATGGCTGTCAAAACCATAGTAAAAATCGATGAATATGATGATGAGGAAGATGAGGAGGCAGATTGTCAGTCTGATGTTACATCCGATGATGATTCTGATTCTGATGTAGAGGTATAATAAGCACATTCTCTCCTGTGTTCTTCGCTTTATTATTTGTTTGAATACTCTTTGTATTATGATAAATCGCGTATTATGATGTATTGGTGGTTCTGCTTGTGTGCATCTCGTACAACTAGCAGAATACTGTCCTAAAGAATTTATAACTAAACAATTCCTCTACCTGTGGCTCTTGAGAATATCTTGTTTCTGTTTTTTCATTGTATAAAATTGATTCCCAATGTAACAAAGGAAGTTTTATGTTTGGTTTGAAAGTTCTAACGTCAGTTCAATAGAGTAATATGTTTGGTTTGTTAAGGCGCTACTTGTTATAAATTTTGTACTGAGCTCAGCCTAAATTGCCAAATGGTTTAATTCTAAATGTGAAATTTAATTTTTTTTGGAACATGTTTGAGAAAATCATAGCTAAAGTAATCATCCACTTGTCAAAAATTATTGTGTTATATTTGTTGAGACAGTAGAAGTAACTTCCTTTCTGAAAACATGGAATACAAATATTTAAGGAGTTTAAGTTCTATGCATTGATTGCATAAAATATATTTATACGATTAGATCACTTCTTAAATTGGTGATTTGGTAAAAATAGTAGTTAATCTCTTAAATCCAATGTGAAATGATAGAGAAAACGATGAAAATGTAACGTTTCCATTTTGAGTTCTAGATTTTTATAGACTTTTTCGTCCCTGGCCAATAGAATTCAGCCACAGTATGTGGATTTAAAACATTTTCATGTCTTTTTATTTGTCTAGATATGCATTAAATAATCTTATAATAAGAGTAGAGGAAAGTGATGTGTCATGGTGTTGGAGTTTTGAAATAAGTGATGGGAAACAGGAGTTAGTATTGTAGAGGAGAACGATTTAGCTCATCTATGATGTAAGTTATTTTCCCTTACATCACTATCCCGCATTTAATATGAGACATTTTTAAAATATTCAATAATTTAAGACAACTATATAGTAAATTATACTCCTTTCATTCATTTTTACTTGTCCACTATAAACTTTGCACACAGTTATAACTATTCTATCCACGGGTTATATTATCCACTTTGGACCTGATCTCACCTCGCCTTAAAATGTGTCACTATATTTAAAATTTCTTTCCTTATATATCTTTTTGTACCTTATTGATATAAAATTTACCTAAAGTGTTATATAACACCTCCTTAAGAATTTGATGTTCACCTTAAAATTTATCTTATTATTGTTTATGATTGCACGCGAAGTTTCTTTCATATAAAATGTAATAGTTCATCCTACTTACTCTCTCCGTTTATTTTTACTTATCCAGTATTCTAAATATAGATTTTTACTTTTACTCACTTTTAACATATCAAGAGAAAATAATTTCTTTTTTCTTGTTATACCCACATTATTAATTACTAATTTCAAGTTATTTTCTCAAACCACTAAAAATATGTATCAATTAATATGTGTATCACATTAAATTATGCACTTTATTTATTATTTTTAAGGGTTATATAAAGTCCATAGTGGACAAGTAAAAGTGAACGAAGGAGTATTACTTGTTATTTGCTTTAGACCTAGACATGCTCAACTTTAAAATTTGTTATTAAGTCTATGTTATCTGTATATATTTGGCATTGATCGTGTTTACCCGTGTGAAATTTGTTAGGCTATTACAGAATTAACGTGATAAGAAAACATTTTATGCCTTATAAACACACCGTTGATTATTAAAACAAAATCTTGTTTGGCTTTTTGAGGAAATGTACCTAGCGTTTGACCATAGATTCTCAAATTTGTTTTAAAAAATTTGATTTGGGTTAAGTTTGGTTTGAAGATGAAAATGTGTTTAGACATAAGTTTTCAAAATATATTTCACTTTAAAAAAAAAAATGAAACATGACTTATACTCACAAGTTCTAAAACTATCACAATACTTATCAATACCTTTATCAATAACATTCATTATATTATCGCAAACTATAATCCCGAACATAAATAAGTTTGATACAAAATTATCATTTATGTAATAAACTACATAATATACTATCAGATGACTGAAAACACGAAACAATATTGTTATAAAATAATAAATGATGAGTTTTTTTTATAAAATACAAAAATTTGGGGCAATTTTTAAAAAATATAATAATAATATTTTGGGCCAAAACTAACTTTGAATTTTCGATTTTAAGAATTTTTTAAAATGTAGATAATATTTATAACCAAACATATATTTGCCAAAAAATATCCAAGTATATTTTGATAAAATCTATGGCCAAACGGGTCGGTAGAATTTTCCATGAGGTTTCTCAGGTAATGTCGACGAACCTAAAAACAAGGCTTTAACTAAAGCACCCATCCCAATGTGAATGAACCCTATGAGAAGTACCAACTTCCCATATACAAAAATTAAACATAGCTAGTCTTTAAACATTTATTATTTATTATTTAAAGAAAAAGAGAAAAGCCATACAAGTACATGTGCAATTAATTGAGTAGATAGTTGGGAAGTTCAAATTTCAATATCAAAGGTCCAACTACATATCCTAAAGTCTAGGCTTCAATCTACCATATGACTTAAAAGTTATATTTTTTTGGAAAATGTTACTGTATAGCCGTTTTCAAAATAGTAACCGATATATATATATTTTGTATATGTATGTATGTATGTATATATATATATATATTCTGTATGTTATATACAAAGTTATATAAATTTTATACACTTTTCGGTTATTGAATGTAAATAGTTTATGGAACGGGCTAAAATTGACAAAAGTCCTATTCTCCCCTTTCTTTTCATACGATGCACGATATTTATACTAGTATCTGATTAATTGAGTTCGCTTCAAAAAATTTCATATAGAAATTAAAATATTCTCTAACACAAACGATTTCATACTTGAAATTCAAACTCGAGATTTCTGATTGAGAACGAAGGAGTACTTGCGACGTGACTTAATCTTGTGGCATGAATCAAAGATACATGACCGACATTGCAGTTTGATTCTCTAAATTAAAATAAACAAAGTAAACGAGAGAGACAAGATTTCAATTTTGACACCGACCATGCATGTTTCACGATCGCCTATGAAAAACCTATTATGAAGTTCTTTAGTTTTTTATATCTTCTATTTTCTTTTTTATATTTTAAAATCCATAAAGTCAATGGTCGTTTTGGATGGAAAACGGCTCATATTTCTAGAACTAGTTACTAGAAGATAATTTAACATATATACGAATTGTATTTAACTAAAAATAGAAATATTCAAAGATATATGCGTGTTGTCTTTTATTTCTATTCGTAATGTCTTTCTTTGCATACATGCCATGTTTACGTAGAGTTGCATCTCATGGGATCTATTAAAAGATTTTATTTTTATTTTCAGAGTTCGAACTCAAAACGTAAAAGTGAAAAAAACCTATTCATTTCGCCACACCCCATTTGATTTCCTAACATTCATCTTTTTTGCAACGCCAAACTCGGACTAGAAAACATAATTGCGGTGGAGTGATAAGTAGATGCGGATGCATGTATCTGCACCGGATTCAACTTGACCCAGTACATTTGACGTGAAGCATAAATTTGTGTGTAAAAATTCACTAACATTGCAATAAATAGCGATATGAACCCATAATTTTAAAAAGACGACAGGTTCAATGTTAAAATCCTTAAAAGTTGAGCCCATAACACTTAAATCCTCGATTCGCCTCTGGGGGTAAGTACTCCTTCATTCGCGTTTGAGCCTTGTATATGGAGTACTCGTCTTTGTTAGAGAGCGCTTTACTCCCAATGTAGGACTTCTCGATACGAGTTCGAATTTATTTAGGCCTTCATTATGAATACCGAATACCAGATCGAGAAACCAAAATAAAGAAAATAAAGTAGTAGCACTCATTTTATGAGCTAGGAGGCTTCCTAGTTCATACACAAGAAAGGGGTTCTTAAATTTTAGACCTAATTTACTGTTTTTGCATTTTTGGAATTTTCTGAAATTGTGGGCGGAATTTAAATGCGTTTCCTTTGGATAATTTCCAATCTGAAAAAGGGGCAAATTCAATGATATGAAAGAAACAACTAAAAGACCATTTCACTTATTGTTTTTGATTTTGCAATTAAATGTGTTTTTGTCCAAAGAAGGAAGACTTGGTAAGTCAATGACGGTCCATTTGTCAATTATTTATTGGATAATTGTTACCAAAATTATTATGTCGTAGACTTTTATCTATATTTGGAATTAGTATCCAATTAATTTGAATTTGCGTTACATAATGTTCAATAAAGAGAAAATGATATTCAAAATTAGTATCCAATTAGTTCGTATTCGTGCTACGTAAGGCTCACTACAAAAGAAACATTCTCTATTAGAAATTTCTCTATGACTCAATCCGGTTAAAAGTAAAGGAATTTTATTCATCGCACTCACTAAAAGGAATTTTATTCACCCCACTCCCTTCGTGGTAATGAAAATATTCACTTAGTCGTTTCAACAAATTTTTTAGGAGACACTTTAGCAAGAAGTGGAGGCCTTGGCGTAATTGGTAATGTTACTGCCATGCAGTGACAGAGCTAGAATTTTCATCAAGGAGTGTCAAAATATAAATAATTAGATACATCAAAAAATCAAGGGGAATCAACGTATAGTAAATATACATAAAATAAAAAAAATTATCTAGTAATATAATGTAACTTTCCGGCGAAAGGGTGTCGCTTGACACCCCTTGGTTCAATGTGGCTCCGCCACTGCTGCCATGTGATTAGGAGGTCACGAGTTCAAGCTGTAGAAACATCCTCTTGTGGAAATTAAATGCAGGATAATGCTGCGTATAATAGACTCTTGTGATCCGACCTTTTCTCGGACCCAGCGCATAGCGGGAGTTTAGTGCACCGGACTGAAAAAAACTTTAGCAAGAAGTGGGCCAATTCTTCCATGATATCAGCTTAGCTAATCAGCATTAATAATACTACAAATTTCTAAACTATAGGGTTTTATATAATCTACTTTTTGTTGTCTAGTGCTTTGTAGTGTAGTTTTTCATTTTTACAACTTTCTACAATTCTCAAAGTATGAGTGGATAAGAATTGGTTTAAAGTGTTATTTTTAAGGAATGAATCAAAGCCAACTTGGTTTGGATCATTCAATTTTTTCTTATCATTTTACGAAGACTTGGTCACATTTCATTTAGAAA